CTCGGCCTGGGGTGAGAGAAGGTAGGGAAGTCTGGACATAACTAACACCCTTGCTAGGGGCCTCAGTGTCACAAGTGCACAGACTGATTCTTGATCTTGAATGTCTCTGTTCTCTATTACTGGAGACAGTGCTAAAGGCCTGTGAGTCAGGACAACTGAATGGTCTTTCTTCCCTCCCTCTGTCTTCTCAGCTCATGGCCCTTTTCCTTAGAAGAGGACTTTGGGGAATTAGGTCATTGTCAGATCACTTGAAAACCTAAATAGGATCCCTCTCCAGCCCACATATGGCCCTGTGAGGAAGGCTTTACCGTCTTCTCACGCTTCACCCTATTTCTCACAGGGGTATTAACTCCACCTCCCAAAAGGCTGGAAAAGACCACTCCTCCCCAGCTGCCTCACCTCCCACCCACTCACTCTTTTATGGAGGCCCCTCGGATCAGCAGAGCTGTGAAGAAGAAAAGCATTTGGGCTTGCAGGCTCGGGCTCAGCAACCCCTGCAGAGTTTTTGTCCTAAGCAGATCCTTTCTGTGTGTGCATGTGTAATAAGTGCCTTATTTTGCCGCGTGGCCTTCATTTGTACTGTATGGCCAGCCCCCAGCTGCCAGGGCTCTAGAGCTGCCTGTCATATGCAGCCAAGGACATCATACTTCAGTACAGTTACATATAAAAGGGACACGGATTGTGACAGTTTTGCCTCATTCCTTTCACTCCACTCTCCCCTTCCTCTGTTGCGTTAAGGTCTGGTGTGTTCTGTTGTTTCTGGTTTCTTCCTTGTGTCAGTTCCCTTCTAGCCAGGCTGGGTGGCTGTAGAAGCCTGTGAGGTGGCCCAAACACAGGTACCTGCGCATTGTACCCTATTAAGAGAAGCTTATGGGCTTCCAGGCCTGTCCCTCAGAAGCCCCCTGTGCCTCTGGCCCCACAGTGAGCCCTAGCTCTTCCAGTGCCCCCGCCCCAATTAAAAACAAAAGGCACCCTCGCTGTAACCTCTTCTATTTCGCTTCCCATTCAACCCAAAGTCAATGTGATAAGGGTGTTTACTTCCCAGTCTCAAGTGTTAACCAGATAATCCATTTGATGGTGGGTCTAGTCCGGCTGTTGCAGAACTGTTCGTGCTCCTGATCAGTGTTACCTAGTGTTAGCAGCACCCTGTCCCCCGCTCCTTGCTTGTCTGCCTTTTCCTCACTCTTCCGGGTTGTGCAATAACTCTCCAAGCCAGTGGGCTTTTCCACAGGCCTTTCTGTCCCTTACATGCCCTGCAGTTGGTGGGGAGAGAGGACCTATGGGAGAGATGGTCATCATCCCTTACAGAAGAAATGTTGGTTACTTTCCTGTTGTTGCTGTCGTTCTCGTGATCCTGGGTGGGTGTCTGTGGCACTCTTGTAGAACATGTAGCATCATCTTAGAAGTCCATATTAAAAAAAAAAAACTGTTGAAAAGGAAAGAAACCCATACTCATGATGGGTCATGTCAGCGTCTGGGAGTAAGATCTGTTGTGATGCCTGTGGTGTCACCATCACTCTGCCTGAAAGCATTCCAGTTTCTGGTTCATGTGGACAGGAAGGAGGTCTTCCCGGGAATCAGCCTCCGGCAGACAGCCCTGTTCACCTGATAGGATCTGGCTGTGATAGTGAGTACTGCCATTTCCTTGGGTACAGATTTGAGTGCTTATGAGACTACAAACCTCATTTTTCAGTTCCTCTGTTTAATAAACATCTGAAGGATGAGCTGAGGCTGCTGGTGCGCTGAGCAACTCACAATGCAAACGTGGACAAATTGTCTCTTTGTTTTTTTACTTTAGCCAGTTCATGTTATGGACCAAATTTCAACAAGGAACTCAAGGAAAATTTGTACCTATCGTATTTATGCTTTCATGTAAAAGGGTTGGGGGGAGGGGTGTCTTTTTACTTTTGGTAAACTTTTTTCAAAATCCTTTTTCCACTGTTTCTTTCTGGTTTTGAAACAAATTACAGTTTTGTATGGACTTTTTAAAATGTACATTTTGAAACAAATGATCAAATATTTTCCAAAATAAATAAAAGGCATAGAATTATCAATCTAATTGTTCCTGGTATAATTCCTTGACATGCTTTTATAAAGTAATGCTTTTTAATCTGGATGCTTACATTTGCTTTTACTTGGAAAATTAGTTTGCATCACTTTTAGTCCTCATGTATAATATTTTTCACTTTATCAGTCATTTCTTATGTATCTTGAGATATATTTACCCATTGTGGTAATGTGAAGTACGGAACTAGAATTAAGGATGGAGAGTCAGTTATATGGAGTGCTGGCTAGTAATAAGCATCATTTTAATTTGTTCTTTAGAAATCTTTATTTTTTAACCGATGATAGTAAACTGGACAAAGGGGTTTTCTTAACAGGGAGTTTGTGGGTAGGAAGCTCCAGAAGGAAGCACACCAGGCTTGATGCCTTCTGTACTATGAAGACATTTGGCTTGGAGGAGATGGGGTTTGTGGAGTTTGTGTATCAAAGCCACCAAATACGTTGGTGCTGACTAGAGGATGTCCAAGTATTAGTTATAATGATGGGCTGTGGGGATTGCTGGTATCACTTAGATGGCCTGCTATTGTGCACAGCTGTCTGCTGTGTTTTCCAGAACCATCCTGCGAGCTCAGGAGGTGAGTGCAGTGACAGGTGGCAGTTAGCCAAGGACACCCACAGGGTGTGAGAATTAAACAGGAAATGCTTACCTGAGGTGACAGTGAGTGTTTTCAACGGAGAGCAAACTTTGGTGCAGGCTTGGGCTTTAGTCCTGCTCTGCTGTGAGGAGCTACTTGCTTGGAGCAGTTAACCTTTCCAAGCCTGTTTATTTAAATGCTAGGGGCTGTGTTTTTGTTTTGCAGGGAATGGTGGTGGTGAGATTGAGAGTTAATGCTAAGTTCATGGTACAAGTAAGGTGCTCAATAAGTTGATTTTTTTTTTTTCCAAAGGAACATGTTCATACTCGTGTCAGCAGGAAATTAGGAGCCACTTACCTAAGTGACTTTTGATTCTCTGGAAACAACATTTAGAGAAGTCTTCTCTACCTATTGGTCCCAAATATCCTCAACACCTATGGATATGGGTTTGATACACCTTAATTAGATGGTATTTTCAAGGCCCCTTGGTGGTACAGGCAGGGTGCAGGCCCAGGACTCTAAGTAGAGGTGAACTCACAGCCAATCTTCACTCACAAGGCATATTTTATAAGCCCCGACACTGTAAGACACCCAAAACAGTCTTACACATATCTTCAGTTAGATCTGATAGCACTAGCTACCAGTGTGTCTCCACTGCAAATGCTAATAGGTAATGCTAATTCTGTCTCAACTCCCTGGTGGCCAATTTGAAGTGGTGGTCCTTTCTTCTTCCCACAATATCATTTGCTGCAGGCTAATTCTCAGCTTCCTTCCATCACCTGAGCCCAGGAGTCCAGATGCACGCCAACTGGGACTATAGCATAAGGTAAACAGTGACATCTCATGGCTGCACACCCATTCAGGATTACAGTAAGAAAAGTGATTAGCTCTGACTTTTGTGGTTCCTACGCTTGCTGCCTGTATAAACTAACAGAGGTGAGTAGTGAGTGTGCAGACACCACAGAAGTGTGTGTGCTGGCTTTGGTCTTTTGTGCAGTAGCTTTTAAACCTTATGGTGGTGCTGTCAGATCTCAGCTTCTCAGTCTTGGGTAAACTTGGAAGTGGATGCAAGGTGAGAAGTGTATAGCAAGCATAAGGAGTATACGTGAATGCCGCCAACCTTATTCAGGACAGCTCTCACAGAGACACTTCTCACAATTACAGTGCAGATGACATTTTAATACTGGTCTCCATTACTTTCAATAGAAAGAGATCCATATTTTATCTAGTGGAAAAGATAAGAAAATAAAAAGATAAGAGATGAGTGGTCAGAACTGAAGGTAGAAGGGCTGTGAGCACTTGGGTTTCAAAGGGTGGGTAAGAAGATGTTAAATGAGACTTTCCTAAATCTCCATTTTGGCTGAGGCCCAAAGCTGAAGACAAATTGGCAGGTATACCCATATGCTGCAGATTGGTGCAGATCCATGAAAGATTTGCTGAGGAGGGGCCCAAAACTGTTGTGAACTTCTTTCACCCCAGCAAGGGTGACAGAGAAAATACTGGAGAATGCAGATTTCTTGAAAGGGGCTTTCAGAGTGCTGTGGATTTGCAAGCTAAGTGAGGGGGGTGCTTTAACAGACTCAGGCTTGACATGTGTCCCCTGGAGTTTAAGAGCTCAACATTTGGGGTACCTGATTCTGACCTAAAACAAGTCTCAAGGAAAGGGACTGACCTGCCTAACTGTCCAGCCAAGACAGCTAACTGTCCAGCCAAGAGAGCCAACTGGGTGAGAACACTGGGCAAGAGTGGACACCCTAGAAGGGCGTGTCAGCCTGAAAGGGCCCCCCACCCAAGAGGACTTCCAGAGAGGATAAGAGGGAGCCTGGGCGTACTGTTAGAGCTGGGGCAGTCAGTTGGAGTCGGGACCATCTGTATCTGAGAATGGTGCACTAGGAGATTTCCTGTGGGAAAGTGGCCTAAGAACTCACATACACAAAAAGGTGCCCCGGGAGAGAGTGAGCCAGCCTTTAGGTACATGTCAGTCATAGAGCCCCAACCCCAGATTCTGACATTACCAGCCACAGAAATAAGACTTTGCCCTTTTACTCTGGTTTCCACCCTTGAACCCTTCCCAGACACAGCAGCATGGCCAAATAGGGACAAAGGGAGCAGAATCCAGAGGAAGGAAGAAGAAACCCACTATATCTGCCCCAACACACACACACACTGTTTATTGTAGGCTTCCAAGCCTGGGCAGTACTGAGCTGGGGCATGCAGGATAGAGCTTAGTATGTTTTAAACTGAAATGGACTTTTAAAATATTTGAAAATAGATTTTTTAAATAGTTACAAGTGACTGTGGGTAAAAAACAAAAACAGGTTCTTCTTAAGATAATCTGGAACACAAAAGGAGGAGTCAATATAACACATTTGCAGCCTTTTAATCAACTGGTAAGAGGTGGCTTAGCACATTAGGAAAGGAAAAAACCAAGGGAAGTTTCCTAGCAGTTCTGAGAGGGCCCAGGCATCTGGAATCCTATATAACTCCACCCTCACTCATCACATTTTGGGTGGCAGGAAGAAGTTTGAGACAGCATTTTTAAAGATGAAGTTGGTGGCTGACTTAACTGAAGTCAGAGCTCATTAGAGAGCCAGCAACAGCTCCTAGTCTTCACCTCCTATCTCAAGGCCAGGCTCTCTAAAAGCAGTGTTTTTCTATTTTTTCTTTTTTTTTGCTACAACCCACATCAAGAAGTACATTTTACATCATGACCCATCATGACCCAGTAAATACACACACAGCTGAAGCAGAAGTTTTGTGAAAAAGTACATACCCTACTGATATGCACTGATATTTTCTGTTATATTTTTGAAAAATGCAGGTCTACTAATGGGCCTAGAACCCGCAGTTTGAAAAAAAGTGGTATATTTCCTTACAATATGGGGACAGGCAGGGAGGCAGTGGTGGGGCTTTGGCTAGCAGCAACAGTGATACCGTGTGCTTATTTCCAACACTCTAAATGATGCATCTAGCAAGTTTTATCATTCTTCTTGCTCTTAATCAGTATACATCTGTATTGTCAGTGTTCTCCAGAGAAACAGAACCAATGGAATGTGTATGTGTGTACACATACATACAGAGGAAGATTAATTTATTACAAGGAATTGGCTCACATTATGGCGGCTGACAAGTCTCAAGATCTGCATGGTGAATTGGCAAGCCAGAGACTCAGGAGTGCTGAGGGTGTGATTCCAGTGTTAGTCCAAAGGCCTGAGAACCAGGAAAGCTGAGGTTTCAGTTGGAGTCTGAAGGCAGGAAAATGCCTGTGTCGCAGTTTGAAGGCAGTTAGGAAGGAGGAATTCTCTCTTGTGGGAAGGTGCAGGCCTTCAAATGATTGGATGAGGCCCACCCACACTGGGGAGGGCAATTTGCCTTGCTTTGTCTACTGATTCGAAGGTTAATCTCATCCAAAAACATCCTTACAGAAACACCCAGAGTAATTTCGACCATGTATCTGGACATCTTATGGGCCAGTCAAGTAGATAAATAAAATTAACCAACACAATACCGCTACCACCCCAAATAAGGCGCCAGTCTTAGATCCTATAAGGTCCCAATTAATTTTGACTTCAGTGGTAGTGCAATGTGAGAGCCAAAAAAGAAATACAACTTCAAGAACTGTGTAAATGCCTCTATTAAGAGTACAAGGTATATTTCAAAGTGTAGGACCAACATCAAAAAGTTGTATTGCATTCTCTCATCAGCCAGGTCAATTTGAAAAAGCACGAACAAAGTTATAGTAGTTAATCTTGCCTTCTCCCTGAGAGCACAATCGGATTAGCTGCAGAAGAAAGCAAAGAGAACAGGTGAGACAGATCTGCAGGGCTTCCCTCATCTTAACTGCCGAGCATGCTTATGCATAATGATCCCCAGCCTTTGTAAACCAGTTCAGAGTTTTCACATCCACAGTTTATTCTGAAATGATCCTGTGAACCTGGTAGGTAGCTCTGACATTATCTCCATCTTACATTTAATGAAACTGAAGCTGGATGGAGTAAATGACCTGCTGAAGATTTCAGGACTAACATCCACATTTATAAGGACATTGTCATTTTCAAAGCACTTTTGTTTTTATATTCAAATTACAAGACTTTGTCCACCCAGCCCATAAGGAGTAAGATTCTTAAAATAGCAATCTCCTGTTAACACAGCCTAATAGAAGAATCTAGTTATGTCACTGCCCAAACTGTGTCTCCTGAAACTCAACTGTGACTGGTAACAGACTGATTTGCAGTGGTTACCTTTAAAAGACGTGTGCAAATCTGCCTCACCCATCCCTTTCCTGTCCCACTTCCCACTGACTGCCATTCCTGTCTCCCATGTCAGAGAGTATGAATGACCCGAAAATCAAAAGCTGGGAAAGCTGTCAATCTAAGGTTTGGGGAGCCAAATGGGTGTTTGGCCCACATGAACTAATAGCCCTCTATCTGCCATCCCCCACTCTCTGCTATGTTTCTGTCTATAAAACATCTTCATCTCCAACCTAGTCCCTTTTTAGCCCTAAACAAAATCTTTTCCTGAGTCTTGATTTTTGAACATCTTTTGCTAAAAGATCTTTTAAAAGGTCTACAGACCCTTAATGTTATTAATCAGTGAGAATATCTCAATGATAAGCCAGAGTCCTTGGCAGTTGTGGGGGAGATTTTGTTCTGACTTTCAGGGGAACCCTAGCTAAAAGGGTTTATCATGAAGAAAGGGCACAAAACGCCCTCTTCAACTCACTCATGAAAATTCTAGGAGAAAAGTTTCCACACACTTTCTCAGTTTGCAGCTGGCCATGCTCTCCCTACTGGCAGATGCCGCTGCTCTTGGGCAGTGGTCTCACTCTCTTCCATGCTAGCTCTACTGATGGGCTAATGTAGGTATCGGCTGTGAAGGGTTTCAAAGGCTGCCAACCACCCTGCTTGATCAACTTGTCTTTGACTCGCCCCCAAGTTGGCTACCCCTCCAGGATCATCTCTGCTGCCTTTATTCATCCCTGACATGACACGTTGGTCTACCAACCACTCCGGCTGTCTAGTTCCGTGCCCACTTAAAGAGATGCCCTGCAACAGCGATTAGAAAAGAATGCCAATGCTAGAATCAGGGGGAAATACCATAAACAGGACAGAATATGAAATCTGATTTGAACATCCTAAATCTTCCCTAGTTAAAATGAAACACACATGCCTTTAGGAAGGAAAGATCGGTGCTCAATCAACCCAGCCTCTGCAATCAACCCAGGAAAATAATTCATACTGACCTCCTTAACCAAGGAGTCATCAACTGGGACATTGAGAGATTCACAGATTTTAAAAAATCTCTCTCTGTCCACGTATCCTGTATGTTCCGTGTCATAAATTTGAAATGCCTCATTAATGTTGTCTTTGCATGAATAATCTTTCAGTTGCTTCTGGATTGTGTCTATTAATGCTTCCAGTTCCTGCATGCCTGGATCCTCTTCAGTTTGCTTGCTGTGGAGAAAGGAAGGAAATAATGACATGGTATTTATTCTTGACTAATCTTATCTCGGTGACCAAAGTTCTCACTTGAACTTGGGGAAGCTTCTAATGACAAACAACTTTGTGACGCCGAACTGACCAATAACTGAACACTTGCCCCCAGGGGCTGGCTGATGGCTGACCTCCACATCAGGAAGGCCTGATTAGGGGCAGTTTTTAAACTGCCTCCCTTCTGGCCATCTGTTAAGTCACTGTACCACAAGAAGCAAAATCTAATAAAATCACCAACCCCAAATTTGGTATTTGTGGGAATCACATGATTGTCTCCTACTGCTGTTGCAGATTAATATTACCTCATCTAAAAATGAATGACTGCGTGTTTAAAAAAATTTGGGGGGCCGAACCTGTGGCGCACTTGGGAGAGTGCAGTGCTGGGAGCGCAGCGACGCTCCCGCCGCGGGTTCGGATCCTATATAGGGATGGCCGGTGTGCTCACTGGCTGAGCACGGTGCGGCCGGTCTCAAAAAGGACAAAAGAAAAAAAATTTTGTATATATACGTGTGTGTGTGTGTGTGTGTGTGTGTGTGTGTGTGTGTGTGTGTGTGTATAAAAACTATGCAGCCAGGAATGTCTTGTAGTTTTAACCATCCCTCTCCAATTCATGCTGAATTTTGTGAAAGGTTATCTATGGAAGTTAAGAGACTGCTCTGTGTGGTGGAGTGAACAGTTCAGACTTAGCATTTACTGAAATGAAGAGAAATCAGTAACACAGAGCATTAAGAAGAGGAATGTCTATTCCTTCAAAACACAACCACAATAAGTAGAAGCTCAACTTTTATTTTCTCTGAGCATGAAGGTGCACTTTTAAAAAATTTTTTAAAATTATTTATTATTAGCATATTCGTTAACACAAATCATGATGTTCCTTTGTGCCCTTTACCTGACCTATCCCTCCCCAAACCCCCTCCCCATCTCTAGTATCCTTAGGTTTGTTCTCTCCTTCTGAAAGTTCAAAGTATTGTTGTCGTCTTTTCCTTCCTCCCTCCCTCCCTTTCTCCCTCTTTCCCTCATTTCCTCCCTTCTTTCCTCCCTCCCTCCCTTCCTCCCACCCAGTTATGAGTGAGAACATGCAGTATTTCTCTTTCCTTGTCTGGCTTATTTCATATAACATAATTTTCTTCAGACTCATCCATGTTACTCCAAATGGCAGAATTTCATTCTTTTTTATGGCTGAGTAGTATTCCATTGTGTATATATACCACATTTTCTTTATCCAGTCATCCATCAATGGGCACTTAGGTTGGTTCCATACTTTGGCTACTGGAAATAGAGTTGCAATGAACATGGGAGTGCACGTATCCCTTCGAGATGATTTCCATTCCTTTGGGTATATACCCAGCAGTGGGATTGCTGGATTATATGGTAGTTCTATCTGTAGTTGTCTGAAAAACCTCCATACTGTTTTCCATAATGGCTGTGCTAATTTACAGTCCCACCAACAGTGCAGAAGAGTGCCCCTTTCCCTGCATCCTCACCAGCATTTGTTATTCTCAGTCTTTTTTATAATAGCCAGTCTAACTGGGGTGAGATGATATCTCAATGTGGTTTTGACTTGCATTTCTCTAATGACTAGTGATGCTGAGCATTTTTTCATGTACCTGTTCGCCATTTGTATGTCTTCCTTTGAAAAATGTCTATTCATCTCCTTTGCCCATTTTTAAATTGGATTATTTGGTTTTTTTACTGTACAGTTGTTTGAGTTCTTTGTATATTCTGGATATTAATCTCTTGTCAGATGTATAGTTTGCAAATATTTTCTCCCATTCTATGGGTTATCTTTCTGTTCTGTTGTTTCCTTTTCTGTGAAGAAGCTTTTTAGTTTGATATTATGCCATTTGTTTCTGTTTTCTTTTGTTGCTTGTGCTATTGGGGTCTTATTCATAAAGTCTTTGCCCAGTCCTACTTTACTGGAGTGTTTCTCCTGTGTTTTCCTTAAGTAATTTTACAGTTTCAGGTTTTATATTTAAGTCTTTAATCCATCTTGAGTTGATTTTGGTATATGGTGAGAGGTACAGGTCCAGTTTCATTCTTCTACATTTGGATGTCCAGTTTTCCCAGAACCATTTATTGAAGAGGCAGTCTTTTCCCCAGTGTGTGTTCTTGTTGCCTTTGTCAAAGATCAGTTGCCTGTAAGTATGTGGGTTGATTCCTGGATTTTCTATTCTGTTCCATTCATCCATGTGTCTGTTTTTATGTCAGTACCATGCTATTTTAGTTACAATAGGTTTGTAATGTAATTTGAAGTTGAGTAACATTATTAATTTTTTTGCTCAGGATTGCTTTGGCTATTTGGGGTCTTTTGTTGTTCCATATGAATGTTAGGATTGCTTTTTCTATTTCTGTGAAGAATGTCATTGGTATTTTGATGGGGATTGCACCGAATCTGTAGATTGCTTTGAGTAGTATGGACATTTTCCCAATGTTAATTCTTCAGGAACAAGACGGATGCCCATTCTCACTACTCCTATTTAACACAGTATTGGAAGTACTAGCCAGAGCAATCAGGCAAGAGAAAGAAATAAAGGGATCCAGATTGGAAAGGATGAAGTCAAACTGTCTTTTTTTGCAGATGACATGATTTTATATATAGAAAAACCTATAGACTCTACAAAAAAATTCTTAGAGCTGATTAACAATTTCAGCAAAGTTGCAGGATACAAAATCAACACCCAAAAAGCAGTAGCATTTTTATACTCCAGTAATGAACTTGCAGAAAATGAAGGTGCAGTTTTAAAATTTAAAAGAAATAATTAGAACTGGAAAACACCCCCTCATATTTCATCTTCAAAAATCCTTTTTGAACAAAACAGGACCAAATAAACTCAGTAAGCACTTTTCCCTTTTTCAGTGGTGAGAAAACAGACTTGCCGACCCTAGTGACTTACTGCAGATCTCATGTCAGAGGTAAGACCAGAACTTGCATCTCACTCCCATCCCAACATGTTCTTTCAAGGATATCCAACCACTTCTCACTGACTCCCTCTCATTCTGTGACTTCAAAACTATCAATCCACCATTGCTTTTCTGGATATAATATTCAAAAAGTTCACTGTTGCAAATAGCCTCTCTTTAACATATTTCCAATTTTTACTGCTAGTGGCCCCTGCTAACCTTTCAAGAACAATTTGGAAATACGGAGCAAAAGCCCAGCAAATAATTTCATATAATTTGTCCTAAGGAAACAATCATATGTTATATGCAAAGATACATCTATAAGACTGTTTTGAGATAACCTAAATATCCAAAAATAGAGAATTAGGTAAATAATTTAAACTACAATCAAGCAATGGAATAATAATGCAGCCATTGATAAGGCTGCAGAAAGAGTAGAAAGATACATGGTTAGTGAGACACTCAAGGCACAAAAATATGTATAGAGTGCTACCTTTGTGTAGAAATTGTGGGGAAATAAAAGTATAGTAAATTTAAATTTGCTTATATTGTGTAAAGAAACTCTGAGAAGATACTCGAAAAACCAAGGAAGGAGGTAGTTACCTATGGGGAGTAGAGGGTAAGAAGTAGGTAGATGGAAGATGGGGAGGGAGCAAAACTTTTCATTAGTCCCTTCATACATACACGAACACACACACACACACACACACACACACTTCAAAAAGTTCATGAAAAAATGGAATTAAAAGGTAATATGAATCTTTCCATGAACTTTTGAAGACCCTTTGTATGTGTTTATGTTTATGAATGTAACACCTACTCAAAAAATTAAACTATCAATGCTCTATAAAATATTTCATAATATCAGAAATGTTCATGATAGACTATCAAGTGAAAAAAGCCAATAAAATAGTATCACAGAATTATTCCATTTTATATGCATATTAAAAACCAAAATATTAGAAGTAGTCATCTCTGGGTTATGAGAATTTCAAAATATTTTTGTTTATTTCTAGTTGTATCACCTAAATTTTTACTCCCTAAACATTTTTTTATTCTAGACATGTGTTACTTTTATAGTAAGACAAAAACAAAAATTGTTATAAAAATCCCCACTATCTAAATGCTCTGTAGCATTATTTATTATAGAAGAATATGAATAGAATATGTTTATCTGATGGGTATAACTTAATCATATATACTAAATCATGAATGACTTCCAGGGAGCTATTTAGTGGCAGAAAGCAGTCAAACCTCACTTTTCCACATGTTCCCAGAAGTTCGAGCCATAGAGCATATAAAGTTAAAATGTGATCATCCAATCATTTTAGGAAAGAGACAATAACTCTCCCTTCCCTAAGGCCAGATACCTATTCCCCTTCACCCAGCAGGGAAAATACCCATCGCATCTGCTGCCTTTGAGCAAGATGGAGTAGGTTCACAGACAGATGGCAACATGTGGTACTTTTTAAGGTAGAGCTAGTTAAAATTACAGCCCCTACTTTATTGCCAGGGTCCAAACCAGGGCCTGTTCAAAAGCTGCAAGTCCCAGGGCAAAGTTTTGTTCCCGTGGGTTAACAAGGCAACACAGGGGCCGGCTGGTTATTCTTAATAGGGACTGCCAGCTGAAAGGCGGCTGGAGGTCCCAACATGCTAGGTGAGGATTCTGTGCCAAGTTCTCCAATGCCCAACCTTTACTTTTCATAAAAGTAAATGTGAGTTTTATAGAGTGACTAATCTCCTGTAGATAAAAGGGATGTCAGAGTTTCAGTCTGCTCTTAGAATATTTTGCTAGAAGCACCCTGGCAAAGTCCTCCACTTAGCAAGAATGGATTGGAATTCATGTATTTTTTTAAAAAGCAAACAGTCTGCAATCCTATTCTTCCTTTCCTACAGTATTTCTTTTTGATGGCAGGCAACTCTGATACCAACAATGTGCTTGAGCTGGCCATTTCAACTGCAAAGATTCAGCATGAACCCCTTGCCCTGAACTTAGCTCTTGATCTGTGACCCAGGGCGCCCTTTGCCTTAATGAAGGTAAACCCACTCCCAGAATGGGC